TCTGGATTTTAGAAAGGCCTTAGACGAGGAGTGGTCGTGAACCTCTTTGTTTAAGTCCACTATAGGTCACCCCAGCAATCAAGTCCTCCTCCATCGTCTCTATAGGATGCTTGCTAACTTCGTCTCCAATTGAGGTCGTCGCACTCCTTTTGGACTTACCAACTCTGAATCTTGACAAGTCGCCGAAAATCATCACCATTGCATGCAAGCGGTCATTTCTATTCATTTTGGTAGTGTTAAACCATTCACCAGCTCTAATTTGTCATTCATGTGCGGCTTTTTCAGCGTCAACATTATCCCTGTGTTTTCTTGATCCGCTGTCTTATTCCCAATCATTGGTTTGAAGTGTACATTTGTCAGTACATATTTAAAGTATTTTTTTCATTATTGCCACTTATGCTCCATTTAAACTGCCGGATGTTTGTTGGTGATGATTGGCCATGAAATAAATTGCGCCCGCTTCATTCTGCAAGTGTCCCTTGCATTTTATTCTTCTTTCCTTACCTGCACTATTTCACTACCTGAACTGGTAGTTTTACTTCAGTTATGGCAATCAGAATGTAGACTTTCACATTATTGTTACAGATATGCTTATTACATTCATCGCGGCGAATCTTTGTTAGCTTCGTTTACCATCTCTTCTTCATCCCGGGTACCCACTGCTGTTGGGCTGGATGAAAGATTTACATCACTTACGCGTTGAATTTTTATGTCCAGTCGAAGGCATAGGTACTCTTCCAGCAGAAGTGAAAGCGTTGTCTAATGAATGTGCAAAAGCAGCATTCGAAGAAGGATAATTAATTCAGCCAATACCAGATGTTCGTGGGTCAGTTTGAAAGTGTGATATAGACAAAACCTAGTGACGAGAGTCAGATACTGACCCATTTGCTACTCGTTTGCAACGAGAGAGAGGATAGCCATGCAGGCATATGTCTCGTCGCCCGCTTATCTCAGACACGATCAAGCGGGACAAACTCTCCTGGATCTGTTCAGGCGGGAAAATATGATCGCTGGACCACTTATTGATAATTTCGGTACTTGGTGAAGAGTTCGGTGTAGGATATGAATAGATTCTCTGCAAGGCTCAGTGTATTTCAGACGGTACTGTCTCAAACAGGGCCCATTGCGGCCCTGAATTCGCCAGTCAACTTTGGGGCTATCGCTGGTTGGTCACCTGCGGATTTGCAAGGCAAGTGGGCCGAAGTGGGTGACAAGGTTTTGGCCACCGGAAGGGAAGTTGACTTTAGGGGCTTAACATGCTCTACCATGGAGAAACCAAGGGCTGCCCTGCCAAGGCACAGTTTGCCAACAAGACAACCTGACAAATGGTCAGACAAAAAGTTCAGGCTCAAACTTTAGAAGATCGTGTCTTAGTTCTGCAGGAGGCATTAATCGTTTTACAGGAGGTAAGACGATACCTCGTCGTTAGAACCGCTTCTTATGTTATGGTTGCCATGGACTGCATGCATGTTCAAAGCCATTCAGAATCCCAATTGACAAAGGAAGATCGACTGTTAAAGGAATCGATGTCTGTTGTGTTTCTTTATGGAGGTGACATATTGCCAACTCTTGCAATTCCGAACTGAGATGCAACTTTGAAGACTAGTGGGCACGACAAACTCTTTGCTACACGTAAAATACAGTGAAGATAACTTACCGGAATCCCAAGCTCAATTAGCAGGGGACATAGGGTTTCCCAAAGCGAACTTAGGGATCGTATCGATAGGACTGATGGGTCCCAAAGGGAGCATGCAGACATATGCTTTATCGAACGATGGATCGAACGCCCAAGGCATTACGAATGGGAATCCCTCCTTGAGCGCGACTACCGTGAATGGGACTTATCAACGTAAATACTGAGAGGTGGGTGTAGGGTCCTACTGGTTCAACGGACACAGCTCAGTGAAGATGTGAAGGGCATACGCCATTGGTCATTTACCAATACCGGGTGCGCAGACAATATCTGGGCAACAGGTTAGGGTCTTGGACCACTTGGAAGGTATTAAATTGCCGCAACCGCCAAGTGATTTGATCAGATTTCTGATTGGGTGTTATGCTTCCGATGCAAATGCCGTCTTGGAGTGGCGTCTGCTAGGTGGAAATCAGCCATTCATTCTGAAGTAGGGTAAGTCCACCGATAGAGTTGTTCCTTGCCAGTGTTCGAATAACTGTCAGAGAATCAGAAGAGATAGTGTGATCATAGGTCCGGGGATAGAAATCACTTTGGTATGGCGTATTCCATATTGGGTAAAAGGTCGTTGAAATTGCAGGTCGTCCATTAAGGCTAGTCAATAGAAATTTTGAGATTGAACTACCCCGGAGACTTGGCAAACCTAGTTTATCCGATAATTATGAAATAGCCAAATGTAGACTCAAGTGTTTTAGAAAATGACTGGCGAAGTGTAGAAGTTTACTGGAGAGAAGTAAGGAAGTCATGAAAAGGCGCATTTAAAACAGGTGCTCAGTTAAAATGAAAGCTTCGGTGGTATATTCCACATGGTCCAGTCATATATCCCGAGAACCGGACGACTTGATGATAGTGCTTCAATGTGCAGATACGCGCCACCGGCAAGGTGCATTTAAAGTAGAATTACCCAACATACACCCGTCACCGAAGCAGTTCGTATGTAGTACATCATTTACTATTTGTGACAAATCCAAGACCCCTACTGAACTATGCAGGTAAAGCGTGACCATTACTCGCCAAAACAGATTCAGAACCTGGAGTTCACTTCAAAATCCATGACGGATATACCGTTCGCTCAAGAAAATAAAAGCAACATAACCGACATATGATCACACCTGAACTCAAGTCATTTTAAAATCGTGGATGCCAACTCCGCCGAAATGGTAAACCTTTTATAGACGGATGAAGAATCAAGTGAACTGAAATGTTTGAAGTTGACGTTACCCTGATACATCGCGGTTCCTTTTGAGAATTCCTTTCCATGTCTGACACCTTCTGATAAATACAGCCTCTGTCTGCAGACGCGTTCGACATAACGCCTTCAAGAAACTGCACAACATGATATATCTGGGAACCCAACTTGCTGTGAAGTTGGTTTCTGACAAGTTGTGGGCCCAACGTGAACCAATTTTATGAGTTGTGAGCGAAAATGTGCCTTAACTGTTAACGAATAAGGTTTCAGGGACAAAAGCATCCACCTCGAGCAACTTCTCAGCACCAGATCACAGGTTAAATCAGATACTACGTATGACACTTCGAATTCAGCCGGGGGTGCCACAGGCTCTCAAATAGGGCTGTTATTCTGTTGTAATCTATGACAGCGAGAAGGAAGCGGATGAAAGTGATATGCTATCACCATCGAATTGCACTACAACCAATTCACCTCCCCTCAACAAATCCTTCCATGCAATGTTATCACTTCCAGTCCCTTATTGCCGGACCTGATGAAATTCCAACGGGTTTCTAGGAGGGGTGGCAACATTGTCTCTAATAAGTATGAAGCCCTTAAGGATTCACTTCTCCAGTGATAGTTATTCTAAGAGCTGTAAATTATCGTTTATACCCCTAGATATCGAATGTGGACAAGTTACTGAACATTCAGTCGCCCGTTTTGAAACATTATGCGGGTACCACATGTGATTCGTTCTACAATGCGTTTCGACAGACCTATGTTTCCATGAGAGTGTAAACGTGCTTTTCTCTCCCCCATCTTCAAAGGGAAAGGTGAACGAATTCCGAGATACTACAACCAATGACAGTCCTACCACTGCTGTCAAAAGTGAAAGATGGCTCGGCAGACGACCATGTCAGGGAGCACTTGGAAAAACAGAGGGCATCAAATGGTATTGAACACGGTTTTCGAAAGGGATATGTGGTGTACCTTGAACCCTCTGCCTGCCGGTATTAACTGAATGGCATGCTGGGACCTTCAGGTCCCTATTTATGTGATTATCCCGGACCTTTTCGGAGGGCTTCAGAACGGTCGCACACACCACTTAATACGAAAAATGGCCAGGTTGGCCAGACGCTTCCGTGGTTAAGGCGCCATTTAGACTGCAAAAGATTTCTGTACATTCGTCAACAAGGTCTACCTGAATTGAAAGACCTCACCATCGCGTGTATTTCAAGGAGTGATTCTGGGTTCGCTGCTTTTTCTTTCTGTTCTTAAATGACCTCCCATTAGGTCTCAGCTCCCCGTTTTTACTTAACGCGAATCATGGTAATTTAAAAAGAGCTGTGACGTTCGAAACAGAATCAAGCGTGCTACAAAATGATCTCAGAATGGGTGAATAACAGCGAACTAGCATTTAGCCTGGATAAATGCCGAACTACGTTTCCCAGCACCACAGACTTGCAACAGTGTCTCACTCTATGGCACAGATCTTTCCTACACAGGGATTGGCACTCGCTGTCAAAATAGATACCTGCTCCGATTCTCCAGAAGATGTCTCGGGAGTCTACCAAATACTTCACTTCATACGAAGACAACTAGGTGCCTTCGCCCATGAAATGATAAACACGACTTTCAAGTCCCACGCACCTAGAAGTCGTCCGTGTGACAGAGCCTCGGACACTCGGGTGAGACCGCAATCTGCCTGAGAAAAATACAAAGATCTGAAACAAAATCAGTTGTGGAACTATAGGCGGAAAGTGCACTGGAAAAGACCGAAACATCAAAATGTATTCACTTTTGGGCTATCACAAAAAGAGAGGTGACCTTATTATGGCATACAAGATCATCTATCAGGCAAGTTACGCAAACAAACTAACCTAACTTGCAACATGGTTGTCATCACCAGAGACCCCACCAGAATAGCTCATTACAGCGCTGACACCAGACTCAGGTCCCATTAAGAGTACGGGTTTGATGGACTGCCTTACTGTGTGATCATACCCATAAACTGGTTTGTTCTCATGTAGCTTATGTTGCATCAAATACATATCATTATGTATTATTCGAAAAAAACGGTTAGGCATTTACGTTGCTTCCTAAACTAAACTCGAAGAATCGGACATGAATAAACAAAAACTATCGGTTTCCTACGGCCAATCTATCTATGTTAATGTTGAATAACCAACAACCCGTCTGGTTAACTAAAGCTATCATTCTCCAGCGGGTTGGCCCAGTGTATCAGAGTAGATCGAAGAACCGCTTCGCAAGAATTGGAAGGGAGCAAGAAGAAATCACTCGGTTTACAAAAACAGGTTATACATATTGGATTATGTTTTTCGCTGTTTGAATTTCAAGGTCGATAGTTGGGATAATGGGATGCATTGCTTTGTTTGTGCGCTATTGTCTATTCTTCGCCTTGTTGGTACTATGACAATGTTCTCATGCTAACCCATAGTGCAATATTGATTTTTGTAGTGGGAGACATACGTCTAACTGGGCTGTGCTTGTTGACACATCGAGGTTTTGGTTCAATTATCGACATATAAGCAATGTTCTTTCCATATATCGTAGTATTAAACGACTAGGAATACCAGACAGGTATTTCTTTTTCAAAAAATTACTTTTCAAGCCGCATTATACTTATGGTTGCTGATGATGCCAGTTGTAACTCTAGAAACCCGAGGCCTGGTAAGCTGTGTTACATATGTAGCACAACACTTGAAATTCTAGCTACTATTTTCAATAACCCCTACAACCGCGTAAATCTTTACGGGGAGGAGGTGGAAATTGATTACCGTGGTTACGAAGTTACTGTTGAGAATTTTATCCGCGTTCTAACTGGGCGTCTACCACCATCAACTCCCACTTCGAAGCGTTTGAATACCGATGAACACAGTAACATACTAATTTACATGACAGGTGGTGTCCAGTTCAGTGCTAACGTTTCACTGTAGGTCATGGAGGTGACGGCTTTCTTAAATTCCAGGATGATAATGAACTTTCTAACAGTGAACTGGCCGATGCGATTGAGCAAATGTGGCAAAAACGACGGTAAGTTCAATATTCATAGTATCGTCTTTACTTACTCAGTTATTGCCTCTAAACGTATGTCAGTGTTGTTGTTTGCAAGTGACATTTTTGCTCATTGCGTCCCTTATTCCTCATGTAAGCAGCACTACGAATATGGGATAATCAAAAACCATGAACCCTCTCACATTCTCACGATTTAATTGTCCGTGCTTCCAAGTTATAATGTATGGTAAAATGTATATTTGAGGAGCAAACTTCACGCTTGTTACAATTGTCACATAGATACGACTGATAACATGTCGCTTCTGAAATTTCGTTGTCTATCAAGGCATTAAGACCAAAATGACTGTTAAGGATTTGGTTATCGCCCTCAACCATTAAGCTCCTGATTGTCGCTTAAGTTATGAATGCACACCACTCTTAGGAGGTAATGAACACATCTCAGTAAAGCAAATGGTCACTTAAGGCTTTCGAAAAACTGCTTATTGTTAGCACCTTCACCTTACAAGATCATGTTATTTACGTACTGCCAGTCTGTTTAGTATTCTTTCTCGACGTCGTCCCATAAAAGAAACAAGTGACTCCTCATTACCTTAAAGAACTCAAGAGCAGATACTAGATATCCCCAATGAATATTATTCGTTGTAGTACCTTTAAGAAGTAGCTGTGTAATTCCTGACGGGTATACCTTAGATTTTACGAACGTTTTGATGTAGCAACCTCTCATTTGGTAGCAAAACGCATGCAAGACGTACTTTTATTTTTGCTTGAGGTGTCCAGCCGACTGCATTTTGTCAGTGTTATCTAACAGGACTGTCGTCTGCGTAGTCTAGATCAACCAGACGCCTGTCGTCGGAAAGTATTACAAAAGTAGTGATGGCTTCTTAGTTGTGTGACCATTTCTGGTCATTCTTACCTTCATTTATCCCTTTATTTTTCACATTTCTATCATTCTGAGTGCATCCAAATAGCTTTTTAGGAGAATGATAAATCTCGAGCTTCTTGATAGTTCACACGTATTTCTCCCTTTTTGTACTTTTAATCCTCTTGGCGTTTTTGTTTCTCTTGTCGATTTTCGCTTTTGTCCTGTTTCGAAATGTGATAGGTATTTAAGGTGGACTTTTGCAGGTGAATGTTTCTGAGGTTGTGTGCATTATAAGACAGTGGAAGCTGCCTAAACATTTTAACGTTCATATTGGTAAGAAGGGCATATTTTTATGTACAAGCTTATGGCATTGTACTTCATTCGGCCTTATATAACATCTAGAGCACTATTAAAGTTGGGAGGTATGCGGCAGTCACAGGTTTTCCATCATGGATATACTTCATACATTTTCTGCGCGATGTTGGACTACGGAAATCAACTTGAAAGTTGGGCGTAGAGTGATAAATAGGGACAGCAAGTTGGCCGGTGGAGTAACAAACTTGCAACAGCTAAGGTGGTTGGGACATATGTTGCTCATGCTAATCCATTTTGTACCTTGAAGCTCAGTCCTAACTGAAACGTGATAATGTTGGAAGGAAGCTGATAGATGTGCCATCAAGATGACATGGATTTTCTGTCTTTTTCCGAGTTTTCTGAAAGTGTAAAACATCAGTAAGCAAATTCTGTCGTATTGGTATTTCAGAAATGTTTATTCATTCGTTCCTTCTGTTCGAGTATTATCCTTTTACGTTATAATAATGCATCTCTTTATCTCTTCATTTTGTACCATTGTGAAGTGTGACAACTTGGTTTGGTGCATATGTTTTAGAGTAATGTTTTGTCTGTTTTTTATGGAAAGTAAAACAAACCGATATTGAAAGCAGTGAAATAATTGATGCAGTCTATATTTTACATTTGTGTAGTATTTTGTCTTCATTATGAAAATAAGACTGTCTATCCTATCTTGTTATTTAACTAATTTATGCGTCCATTTTACAGGTATCATGAATTACTGTTTGTTGTTGATACGTGTCAGGCGGAGTCTATGGGCAAGTTATTTTATTCCCCCAATGTAGTGGCAATTGGTAGCAGCGCTGTAGGAGAGGAATCTTTATCGGTGAGTTAACTACAATTATTTAAGGTTGATCTATGTAGCTTTTTTCTTTACCTATTGGTTGTTATTGGAATTACCTTACCCGCTGGCCACATGATCAGTGCATTTTTACCGTTGCTCTCTGGTTGCGGAAACGTGGTTCGTAAATCTAAAAATCATTTTTATTCACTGTAAAAACTGTCCCCCATAAAAGTTAGTTAGCTATAAATATTACCGAATTCATTTGTCAGAATTGTTCACTAAAATGACCTCAGTAAGCACTGTAGCCTCAACGTCTATACCAGTAAGTCCAACTCCCACATATGAGATAGGAAGCAGCACATACAAATTATGGTTATACTGGATGTGATTTCTAATTGTAAGTCGATAGTTATATTAGCATATGCCGATGTGAGTCACCTTTAGCATCTCTTCATTAGTCTAACTGTGAAACGTCAGGACTACAGCATTTCAGTGCAAGTTGTTCTATTCTGCTGACGTGAACCTGGGCCGTTTTAGTTGAGCCTGTTGACCAATTGCGTTCGATCCTTACCTTCTCCATAGAACTTTTCGTATTCGGTGGGAAAAAACTATTAGAAAGATGTCTACTGTCACATATTCCTGAATTTTGAAGATCGGGATTCAGTAAATGATGTTATCCTGAAGTACCGACGTCGGTAGCTTGGTTATTATTTTTCTACATATGCTACTCTAGTAGTTTTCATACACTTAAGTGAAAGTGACTGGAAAGAAAAGGTGAGTAGTCAGTGTGTGACGTGATGCTTTGGGCTGAAGGATATTTATGTCAGGTTGCCATCTGTTGATGTATCACGACTCCTGGATGGAGTTCAACAGATAGTCTTAAGATTTGAGATGATGTCAAATCTGACTGATAATCGAAAGCCATGACAGTCATATTGTAGCTTTTTGTCTAGAAGGTAAGCGATGTCAACTTGGAACAAATTTTTGACTTAGTTGTAAATTTACCCTCATATTAACATGGCTATGATTTCTTTAAGTCTCACTGGCTTATGCTGCTTGCACTTAACTTTTATTTCTCTCACCTAAAATTCACTAAGAAACTGTAATATGGCTGAAAATCGACCATAATGGCGCGGATGCATCCACATACTATCTTCTTATGGATTGTCGTATGGGATCTCATTATTGTTCCATTCATTTCTGTCATCTTTCCAAGACTTTCTACCACTTTACACTATTTCTTTTCTTATTTCCGTATATTTCACCTTGGTCTTTTCTATCTCGATGTGCTGATATGACCGTTACCCAGTAACGCCAGGTCCCACGTTGATCCTCACTGATTGACCTACCTATAATTCACTGACTGAATTGAATCTAGGGCGAGATATTGGCGATGTTTTACCCAGTTTTCTAATTTAATACTCACACCTTTATGCATGAAAATAAGGAGTCCACAACACAATAAATTACAAATATCCATAAAGCAATAAGGCTAGAAAGTCCGTAGAACACTGTGAATTTAAATGACTTGCACTCACTACCGTTATCTATGCAAATATAGCTGTCCGGGTTCCATATTTTAATTTTCTTCTGTATCTCATCACAACATTTTGTGTCTGTTTAAAGTAATGTAAGTGCTTTTCGTGCTTATTTTATGAAATTTGCTCTCTGATCACTCTGTTCCTCTGTCTTTACACCTTTTTCCGTTTATTTCTTCACATTGTTATATTACGTATGATGTATTTTCTGGTCCCTATTCTATACGAAGTTTATGTTCAAAATAATATTCGGTTTGTTCTAAATGTCAGTACTTATTTCTCGTTTTTCCGAACTGGCGTTAACCATTGTGAGTATGAAAAGTAATTGACAATGTAGTATTTACAATCAAATACCTTGATTCCTGAAAAACGTAAATGAGTCGTAACTGTTTCGTTTTACTGAGCGTATAGTGACAAAACGGTATCAAAAGGTAACATATTTCAATCACATTGACTTATCAACATGTTATCCGAGGCATAAGTATGTCGGTTCGAGTTGGTCGTTTTCTTCAGAAGAAGCAAACCCTTTCATCCACGCAGGTTCAATTATCCCTGAGTTATTAAGCATGTAGTTTTGAGCTTATGAGGTTAGTTAGATTATAAAGATGTAAACCTTTGTTGATTAAGGTGCTTGATATTTGGTTTCATCATCAACATCAACTTAGGACCAGACATCTTTGGACAACCGTCCAGGTTGCCACATTTCATATCAGCACATCAAGCGAGAAAACAATAAATTGAAAGATAAATCAAGATGAAAGCAGTCAGTAGTAGAAGTTTATGATAAGGTAGCAAGGAAAAATAAGGAAAATATAAATTCAGTATGATAATTAAAATGAGGATAATGTTGGGAATTCATGTGCGCCACTCAGATCGATTCTGAGTCTTAACACTTGGAGTCTCCAACCACTAGTTTGTGTTGTCACGCGAACCCCAACTAGGTAGTCTACACTGCCCTGCACGACCCAGACCAACCGTCGGAGATTTCATGCACTGATACCGTGTTTCAGTCTGGCCACACCGAGCCGTTTCCCAGCCTAAACCTACTACAGCTAATATTGTGTGACAAGGCAGACGGTGATTATGTAAACATAAAACGTGCCCCTGTCATCTTAGTCTATGAAGGTTCGCGACCGCATCAACCGTCTTACCTTATGCCTAAAACTCTACACCTGGCTTCTGAATTACTAACTTAGTGACACTATGACACATGTCTTATGCTATGAAGGCAGCGGGGGTCGAACTCCTCAAGCCGTCTCATATCCTCTGAATTTAATGACCTTATTTCATAGCATACAGTAGAACAGAGCGAAAGGCAGTGCAGTACACTCGGCCCTTAATAAGTAATAGGAAATCACAGTAGCGCCATTAAAAGCGTAACGTGTCGAATGCCAAATGAGTCTTTTGTATCCGTGTTGCGATTTTGTCTATCCCTGACCCACCCGAGCTGATCCGACTTCCCAGTTAAGTGAAGTGGTCAGCGGGCTCAAGCGCTTCACTCCCTGTTGTTAGACGTAGCCCCAGTAAAGATTAGCCTTGCAGCAAAAATTTAGATTTAGGTGGTGAGAAACGCATCTCAAACATTGTCAAACTGCCATTTGTGTTCATAAAACTGTACCTTGTCAGAGTTTTCATCTAACAGGACTATGTCATCTGTGTAATCTAGATCTACCAGGGATTCCCCTGTGATGAGATCTACCCATGTAAAGGAAGGCGACGAGAGAGAGGTCTCCATATAAGTGCATCTGCGATAAAGTTGAATAAGAATGGAGTGAGTGGACATCCTTGGGGGATACTACTTGGCGTACACGACCCACCATAGGTTCTAACACGCCTACGGGTGTTCGAGTACAGCACCTTCAGTAGAGTGATGTACTTGGCACCCCTTTCAATGAGAGACACTACCATAGGACCTCATGGTCGACGGGATCAAATGCCACCTTCAGGTGGAGAAATACCACCAGTGTCTTGCGTCGATAGGTTTGTATGTGTTTCAGAAGTTGGCGGAGGGTGAATATCTGGTCAACACACCTACGGTCAGGTCTGAGGCTTGCCCGATTTTTTTGGGTTCAATGTTCTGAGCTACACCCACTTAGACGTCTAACGATTGCAGAACCTCGAGTCTTAGACGCTATGTTCATCAGGCTGATTCCCCTGTGGTTATCACAGAAGGACTTCTCATCTTTCTTGAGAACTGAGGCAATCAATGATTGAGACCAGGGGAGATCGTACCTGACTTCCACACACCAGTTAACACTGAAGTTAACTCAACCAAAAATCGTCTACTACCGTCTTTAAATACCTCTGGTGTTAGTTCGTCTGGCGGTGCTGCTCTTCCTTGTTTCAGATTGCTCATGAATTTCTCGACGTCTATAAATGTTGGGAGTCCTATGTCCATGTATCGCTCAGGATCAGGTTGGATAGAAGATAATGAAATAGTGGCTAAAGGTCAGTTGAACTGTTCCTTAAGTGTACCGCCCATCATTCAAGGCATCACCTCTGCAAGTGAATCACTAACTCATTCTGCTGCCCTGTAGTTTCACTAATTGGTGACCTTTTCGCCCCCGTTTCCGTGGTAAGTCTAAATAACTGTCCACTGTTACTTATCGCTGCTACTTTTCTCATCTCCTTAGACTTCTCAATCTACCAATGTTTGCGACCATTGGGAAGACTATTTGTCAGTTTACATTTCGGTTGCTTCCGCTCCTCAGTGTACTCGGGGCTTGCACGGATGCACTCAGGTTCATCCATTAGTTCAGGAGTTGCTGATATCCATTAGCCTTTTCTAACCGCTCTCTGAAAGTTGGCTGCGGTATTCAGCGCTGTTTTTATAGCAGACTGGAGATGATTGTAGACTCCTACTGGATGAATGATATTGTTCTGTTTCAATAACTGCCTAGATGCCTTCTCCCTGGAAGCATCCTTAGTATTCTCATTGCCGAGCCGCACTCGCAATGGTCTTGTTGCTGTAGTTTTTCTACGTCCATTTAGGTGCAGATACATATGGTGGCACCAGCTCATGATTGCTGTCCAAACGCGTGCTCCAGAAGGAGCGACAGTCTTTCACCGATCCTCTCCAGAGATAACTGGTAGTGCATCTGTATGCACGGTTGAGTTGAGGCCGGCGGGTGCCAAGTCAGGCAATGTCTCTCTTTATGTCTGAAGTTCGTGCTGGCCAGAAATAGGTGATTGTCTGAGAACAGTTATAGCTGCCGATTGCCGTTATTCATGTCTTTTTCACCATCTACCATGATAAGCTATGTTAGCTGAAGTAGGATTAGGTTGGAAAAAAGCTAAGGATAATCAGACCAGGACTTCATAAAGCTTCTGATCATTTGTTTAGGTGGTGTAGGGGAAAGTAGACGTTCTGGTTTGGGTCCAGGCGACAACCTCAACCTATTGTTGTAGATTTCAGGTGATGTGGTTGAGAATTGAACTCAGTGAGGCAGGTACATCCACTCCAATCCTTATCGTGACCATTGTTTCACAATTCTTTATTTGCTC